ATATTCATTTAATATATATACGTTTCTATAACATACTGAAAAATGTAATATTTTCACAAAGGCATTGCTAAATTTATTTATTTTTTTGTATTATGCAGTTTATGGTTTGTACACTGTTAGTGTAATTGTATATAAGTTTAGTAATAATTCAAATATATTTATGTAAATATATTTTTTAAATAATTGATTAATAGCTTACAAGCTCAAAGTTCTTATTTTTTATTTATTTTAATTTATGAATTATTAAAACATTGCTAGGTGACTAAATATATTTATAATTGACATGCCTTTTCTTTTCAAGTATTTCTCAGGTTTGGAAGAAGCGGTATATGGAAATATAACAGCGTGCAAACAATTTGCTCAAACTGTAAGAACTGCGTATGGTCCAAATGGCATGAATAAAATGATAATTAATCATATTGAAAAATTATTTATCACTAATGATGCTGCTACAATTATTAATGAATTGGAAGTTGAACACCCAGCTGCTAAATTGTTAGTTCTAGCGTCGAAAATGCAAGAAGCAGAAGTTGGTGATGGTACTAATTTTGTGATCATTTTTGCTGGGGCACTTCTTGAAGCTGCCGAGGAATTACTTCGTTTGGTAACATTTACTGATGTACTTTGTTAATTTCACAAGTAACAAATATACTAAAATATGATGAATATTTTATACATTCAGGGAATTACAACATCTGAGATAGTTGAGGGATATGAAGCTTCTTTGGAAAAAGCTTTACAAATATTACCAACATTAGTTTGTTATGAAGTAAAAGATTATCGAGATGAAAAGCAAATACAAGTGGGAATTAAGACAGCTATTATGAGCAAACAATATGGAAATGAGGAACCTCTTGCTTCTCTTGTTGCACAGGCTTGTGTATCCATTTTACCAAAGAGAAGTACTTTCAATGTGGATAACGTACGTGTTTGTAAAATATTAGGCAGTGGTATATCTAGTTCTGAAGTTGTACAAGGAATGGTATTTAAGAGGCAAGTTGAAGGAGATATTACAAGAAAAGATAATTCCAAAATTGCTGTCTATACCTGTGCAGTAGATATTATACAAACTGAAACAAAGGGAACAGTACTAATAAAAACAGCAGATGAACTGATGAAATTTTCTAGAGGAGAGGAATCTTTATTAGAATCTCAAATAAAAGCAATTGCTGATAGTGGAGCTACTGTAATTGTTTCAGGAGGGAAGTTTGGAGATATGACTTTACATTATATGAACAAGTACAATATAATGGCTGTTCGTATACCTAGCAAATTTGATATTAGGAGATTATGTAAAACTGTTGGTGCTACAGCACTTCCAAAATTGGTAAATTTTCCTACAACGATTATTTTTTTAATGTAATACAAAGATTCAGTTGATCATTTTTATTTTAAGGTACCACCGTCAAAAGAAGAATTAGGATATGCAGATTCAGTGTATATCGACGAAGTTGGAGACACTATGGTAGTAAAATTCACAATAAATGGAAAAGATAGTCGTATTAGTACTATAATTGTTCGGGGATCCACGGAAAATTATATGGATGATATTGAACGAGCTATTGACGATGGAGTTAATACGTTCAAAGGAATAACGAGAGATGGACAATTTGTTCCTGGCGCGGGTGCTACTGAAATTGAACTAGCTGCACAACTTAGTACATATGCAGATACTTTACCAGGTTTAGAACAGTATGCGGTACGCAAATTTGCAACGGCTTTAGAAATTTTCCCAAAAACCCTAGCCGAAAATAGCGGAAGTCATGCTTCTGAACTTTTATCCAAACTTTATGCTGCCCATAAAGAAAGTAAAAAGAATTATGGTTTTGACATTGATGTATGTATCTTTAAATTTTTTGTGAAACTTTATGATATAAATACACGTTAAAAAAAAAAAATTATATTTGTTTACAGCAAAAAGCAGGTCTTATAGACACAGTTGACGCTGGAATTTTGGATTTATTCTTAACAAAACAATGGGGTTTAAAATATGCTGTTGGCGTTGCATGCACTGTACTTAAAATCAATCAAATTATTATGGCAAAGCGTGCAGGAGGACCAAAACTACCAGGCAGTGGTGGTGTTCGCGATGATGACGAGTGATAATACATAAAACAAATGTCATATATACATATATGAAACATTTAATTATTCATTAATTTTTATGTTTAACTTATAATGTTATATCGCAACAGCTTTTCATTAAACTTTATGTCAAACAAAAAGAATATTTATAAAAAAAAATATTGCGTCATTTATTTACTTATTACATACTATGTCTATATGTTATGTTATTTTATAATTTTTTAAAAATATGTTTAGTATACTAATTAATTTAAAGTTAACTGCATGATATGAGTAAAAAATTAAAATTAAATGTTAATTATATATTTTATTATATTCGATATATTTTTATATTACTTGTTATTATTATTTTTTATTTACTATACTTAATTATATTACTTATTATTATTATTATTTTTTATTTACTATACTTAATAGAAAATAACATTTTTGAAAATGTTTTTAAAAATATCGCGATTGTCATCAAGGTTAGCATTATAGTTATAATGAATTATCACGACTAACCAATAATAAATTTTCTTGTATCAAAAATAAAATAAAAAAAATAAACTGCCAATAAATATAGAGTAAATTTATTTAATAAAAATTTGAAAATATAAAAATTATAATTTTTATATTTTCAAGAAAATACATTTCATATTTTCAAATATGAAAATATAAAAATTATTTCTTGATTCTACGTATCATGTTGTTATCAGTGATGTTAATTTTTTAATATAAAGATAAATTATATAATGTCAGAAATATTCAATGATTAGCAATATTCTCTTTCAGTAGTAAACAGGTTCTTGAATCTTTACAAAAACAATATGAGCCTAAAATTTGCTCCCAACTTATCTTTCATGTTTATGGAAACACCATCTATCATTGAAAGATATAAATTGGCGAAAGAAGCTGGATTTAAAGCAGTAGAAAGTGGATTTCCTTTTGGTATTTCTATTAAAGATATATCAGAAGCAAAAAAAAATGCATGTGTTGAACAAATTCTTATAAACGTATTTACAGGTATTGTATCATTATAATTAACGTAAAGCATTATACAAATAATGACAAAAAAAATCATCTTATATTGAAATATAATATTTATTTTATTATAATAGGTGATGTTTCGAAAGGAGAATTAGGGTTTGCAGCAATACCAGGAGAAGAAGAAAACTTTAAAAAAAGTATTGATTTAACAATAGAATATGCAAAAGCATTAAATTGTAAACGGTGAAAGAAATTAATTGAATTTATCAATCCATTGATGAGTGTTTTTTCTAACAATTAATTTTTTTATTTATTTTTCATATGATCTTTTCCTAGAATTCACATAATGTCAGGCAAAGTAAATCAAATAACAACTGCTAATGACGATGTGTATCTAAAAAATCTTTTATACGCGGTGGAAAAATTTCAAAAAGAAGAAATAATAGCTCTTATAGAACCTATTAATAATATCACTGTACCAAATTATTACATGAATAGTTTCCAAAAAGGTAGTTTTTTAATACAAAACTAATTTTAATAAAATGTCATTAATATAACATTTCTTATACAGGTTTGGATGTGGTAAAGAAGATAAATAAAACAAATTTAAAGCTACAGCTTGATATCTTTCACTTACAACATATTTGTGGCAATATTACAAAAAACATTAAGGAACTTTTACCATATATAGGTATGTAATTTATCTTAAATACTATGTACATGCATATGTGAAATTTATATATTTTCTTAATATTATAGGTCATGTACAAATTGCTCAAGTACCAGATAGACATGAACCTGACACGTCTGGAGAAATAGATTATAAATATGTTCTTTCAGCTTTAGAAAAAGAGGGATATGATGGATATGTAGGTTTAGAATATCGTCCAAAATCATCATCAGTAGATGGATTATGTTGGATACAAAACTATGGTTATAAATTGTAACATTCATTTTATAAATATATATTAAAAATTTTTATGTTAAAAATTTTCATTTATAATATAACAATTATTTATTTCACCATTATTTAAGGAAATTATAAGTACCTTTTTTTAAGTTACATACATTTCAATATGTGTTACAATATATTTGTCATATGTCTATTACAATATATCTTTATTGATACACTTTACAGAGTGGACAAAATTAAAGAATAAATAAAATTTATGTTAATATTTTATACTAAGAAAAAAGAATTTCTTTGCATATTAGTCTTTTTTCCACTTAGAATTAGATTGAACTTAATTATTATTTTCAATATGTCGAGCAATTTTTATCTATTAAATATACACAACTGTATTATCAATGCTATTGCTACTTTTCTATACAAGATAAAATTCACTAGTAATACCTTTTTTATTATCTTACATAACACGTTATGTTTCAATAAGAACAGCAAGTAATAAAAAGAATATAAATTATAAAACAAATTCTTTTTGATAATGTAAATGTATTATTTGTTAATCATAAAATGTATTATATTAAAACGTAACAATTTTGTTGTTATTGTAAATAAAAAGTAAATTTATTCAAAACATGCTAATTTATAATTAGCAGCATCAAATAAAATACATGTAATCATCTTTTCAAACATATAAAAATTATGAAACATTCTTAAAATTATTTTTATTCTTTTAATGTAAAAAATATTTTTAAAATATGTAAATATATAAATGAAAAATATTATAGTATATGTACCAAATATGATTAAGATATAATTTATATAATATAAACAAAATTGAATATTTTGATTGAATATTTTACTTTAACTGTGATTTTGATTTTTAATTTGAGAACAATAATAGATTTATTATCTTATGATATCTTTAATTGATAATTTTTTTTATAAAATCATTAAATTTACAGCAACATTTTTGTTTATTTATAAATACGTATCACTGAATCATTTTTCTATTCTTTACATTTTATGACATCAATTATTATCAGCAACTTAATATCTATAAGACATATCATTATAAATTATGATCAGAATTACATATGTATTGCCATATGTAACAATAAGTAATAAGAATATTGCATATATATATATATATATA